GGGGGGGGGGGGGGGGGGGGGGGGGGGGGGGGGCTTATTACCGAATTAATTCTAAAGAAAGTGTTTAGAAACAAGGTACTTAAAACTGCTAAACAAAATACATTCTGAAGGTACTTGTTTTTTACGCTTCCATGAAAGTTTCCAAAAAATTACATATCGGAGCAATTTAGGGTTCTGGGGAAACTGCCCATCTACCCCTCCCCTAGCCCAACATTTTGCCCTAATTGAGAAGTAAGTGTTAATGTTGACTTAGGGGAGGGGTAGGTCGGCAGTTTCCCAGAAACCTGAATTGATCTAAAATTACAAATATTTCAATACGAGCATGAGGGGGCTTATAAGCGGATGTTTTTTGTTTACAGGTGGATGGGGGGGGGGGGGTAGTGTTATAAGCGGAGGTTTACAGATTTCTCTTGTCTTCCAGCTAATGGTGTTGCCGCTGCAAAGAAGACAAAAAATGATGACAAACCAGGTGATGTTAAACCTGACCCTGGTGATGATGTTGATGACGTCACTGAGAACGAGGAAGGCGAGTTCCGGAAGAGATACCACTCTCAAGCCACCTTCTCTGCTGTCATTGGACTAAGCTGTGGGGCCCTGGTTATCATGGTGATCATTGTTGTTGCCATGGCAATGCGTCGTAGCCGTCCTAGGAATAACACCAAGACGGTACTTGTAGACGGAGATGACGACAACGCCACAGAGAAAAGTCACCTTGTCAACATGCAGGAGAATGGCTATGAAAACCCCACTTACCGGTTTTATGACTACTAAGTAACATTTTATGACAGTGAAACAGTATTGCCTAAGACAACCATCAAAGCCCTGCACTAACGTCTTGTAGAATTGGTTTTAGCAAAGTTCTTTGTAGCCCGGCGCTATACAACAATGCGCGGGATTGTCTGGTTATTTGTGCAGGGTATTTTCCGGATCTCTTTGAGAATCTCTGATTGTATTTAAGCTCTATTTTGGTAGTAGGTGCAAAAGCGTTCTCAAATGCGCAACCGCAGAAAGGCAGCTTTTTATAGTCCTTATCATACGGTAGATTATTTGGCAAGAGAGTTAAGCAGTGGAACAACACTTTCTCGGTAAAACAAAATTTGATTCACAAATGACAAGTGAAGCATGAGAGCTCGGTTTCTTCGTTGCCTGAATTGTTTTCTTCGTTTTTTCTTTCCTTTGACGTTCACTTCTGTTGGTACCGGTAATCAGTAAGAAATTATATCTATTTCTCAATCCTTACGTAAAGGAAAGCAAACTTGAGAAAGTTATCATTGTAATTTTTCTACTGTTAAACTCTCTTGTTAACTTATAGATTTTATAACCTAGGAATCAGGGGTCAAACAATAATAGTTAGAACTTAAAATATTTAACTCCAGCACTTTCTTTGGACACATAACAGTATTTATTGGGCGCAGAGCCATAAAACTTGTAAGGTTTGACCGAGTAAAGCACAACGTCTTTGTAAACAGTTCTTTCAATAGCACTGTGATCATTCTGAACTGTTCTTACGCCCAGTCTTCGCCCTTCAGTTTCGCATTTACTTCGAGGAAGTGAGCTGAGAAAGCTTGCCTTCAACGCGGACAATCTTAGGGGCTTTGTCACACGTTCATTCCCTAAGAACGTTCGTGGGGGAGGAACGCCTGATAAAGCCGTAAGAATATTTTCGTGGGAGGCAATTGAGAGGGAAAGACTTCTTTTTCTCTCGGCATGGATTGCAAGATTTTTCTCGACCTGTTCTTGTTGGCTTTGAAATTATGTCAGGACAAACCAGTAGCCTCACAGGAGCGCCATAAGGCCAGCTTGCATGCTCGCAGATCTGAGGTTGTAAGGGGACAGGTGTTCAGTCCAGTTGAATTATCTTCGGAGAGAAATAGTCATTTCTCACGCCAGTTCGGTGTGCGTAAGATAGTTATCGTCAAGTGTGGCCCTTGTAAACTAAGATCGCCCATGATTTCGAAGCAGTTGACCTGGCGTGATAATTCTGGTGTGTGATCGGAAACTCCGAGGAATATCTCCAAACTTTCTAAAAGTTATGTGTACACGATTCAACTTAATCGCACGCGGTGTGCCTAGGATGAACCTTCAACCGGAACAGTAAATTTTAGATTAAACCTTCAATCTCAAATCAGTTGTAGAATTCATTTAATCGCTACGATTTGAGTCCTTGGCTTATCGAAACAAAATTTGCCTTAACTTTGTTCTGGAGTATTCCTGAATTAAAGTAAGCGGTACACTGTGACTCACCGAGTGTTGGACGAGATCTCTGACCTACTGTAATTAAAGGACTATGGGTTGACTTGGGCTCCCCGTGGGAACAGTAAAGAGAAAAATCAAGCATATCAACCGATGATCGCCGAGTTAAACTGTTACAAGATATGTAGTACTAGACACAGTAAGCATTTTAAGGGAGCCTTGAAAGCTGTAATGTAGAATACTGGTATTTGGCTATTAAATATAACATTTTAGTACCTTAAATCTCGCTCTCGTGTTTTTTTTTTTTTTCTGAAACGCCCTTTTAGTACCCTGGCTTTCTCTCATGTTCCCTCTTGAACGGGAGGACAGTGACCTTAGTTACGTAAGATTTCACTCTAGCAACAGCCGTAGCTCCATTCCACGGACCTCAAGATCCGAGGACGGCGACGGTAGCGAAAACGTCGCTGAAAAAGTAAATTCGCGTTCTTTCAATCTTCATCGCGATTTAATACTCCCAAGTCACTGACTTTGTCAAATGTAGGTGAACCCTCTTAAAGTTGAATTCCTAAGAACCATATCCAAGTTCAGAAATAGAGAAGAAATTTCGTCGTCGGTTGTGTACTTCCTCTGTGAAACGTTCGTCGTTCCTGGGCAAGTACTATCAAGTGTACAAATCGGATTCGACCAGATCTCGCCTTCGCTTTCGTCAACAAGAGATCTGGGTACGAGATTATTTCGAAGGTACTACAGTCGACTCCCGGTAACTCGAATCCGCTAACTCGAAGCAATTTTCATTTCCCTTCAGATCATTATCTATATAATTTTACCCTCGATAACTCGAACTCCCGATAACTCGAACTTTGTTCTATTTCCCTTGAGGGTTCGAATTATCGGGAGTCGACTGTATCCCTTTTGACCCTTGACCCTTTCACCTGTACCCCACCCCAACTTTTACTCAGTCACATTCAACTTTTACAACGAGATCAAAGGAAAATGCCCGTAAGCAAACAGATAAAGTGTTCGCATCTGGAGGTGTCAGCTTATCGGAATGATCCCCGGAAAAGACCACTACGGGAGCAAGGAGAGTGGCTTTCATAGGTTCTCGCACCATTCACATTTAACCTATCGTTCCCAGGATTCTATTCAACTTGATGCGTTTATAAATCAATGAAAGTATTGCTTATTTTCAAACAGAGGAGGACTAGGTAGGAGACCGTGTATACACCACTTGCACATCTCCAATAAGGCACCTTATTTTCCCCCCTTCTCCTGGGTATTACAGCCTTCCTAAGAGAAATTGAAAACAATGCTTATGCAAAATTTTGGGGTGCAAGTAAGGTGCATTATGGGAGATGTGCAAGTGGTGAATTATGGGATCGAGCCCTATAAAATTCTCAACCAGAAATCTCTAAGTTAAGTACATAGTTCGTACCAATCCCCCTTGATTTGAAACCACAGAGGGATAGACGAGCAGGAGGGAGCCCTGGGAATGAGGTTGCATTCACATTAAACATTTTAAATACAGGAAAACAGTACAGAACCACGGTGTTAAATGACTGTCTCAGATACATTTAAGGGGCACCTTCAACCAGTGTGCATTGTGGTCGTGCACTTCACCGAAATCATTTGCTGTAATACAGAAATTATGAACGTTCTGATTGTGTTTGAAAATCGTAATGTATCTTAACAAGCTAAGGCAATAGCAGGCTGTGATACCCTTCTAAAAAGAAACACAGATACAATCCTGTTATCAAACACAGAAAGCACGTTCGTGATCTCTGTATTACAGCAAATGCTTTCGGTAAAGTGCACGACCGCAATGCACACTGGTTGAATGTGCCCCTTTAAGAGTTAGTCATGGCCAAGTACTAGGACTGATCGCGTGCTGTCAGTTTAGGGGCGCTTAGAAACAAAATAAAGCTCAAAATCATTTTATATGTGGTTTTAAACTATTTTGCAAAACTTTCAATAACAATCTGTTGCGCTAACAGTTTATGTTCCTGGCCTCTGTTAAAAATGACCCTCCCTCCTCGCCCCCCATCTTAAAAGAGTGAACTAAACTAAAGCTCTAGGGCTCTTAGAGCGCTTACGATTTGTAAGTCCCTATTCTGTGAAATGGTGTTAACTTCTTTTTAGAGTTACAGTTAGAAATGAAAGACTTAAAAAGATCTTGCGATAGCCATTTCTCATTATACCATTTGTTTGTCACTATTCGGTCAAATGAATTTACAGTTTTTCTCACAGTTTTGATAACGGAAGCAGTTAGAAATGAAAGAATTAAGAGCTCTTACGGTATAGCCTGTTCACAGACCCTCTATTTTCTTTTTAAAGATTGTCGAGCGCGCGTAGATTTATTGACCGAACGCGATCGTTCTCGCGCTGTCGAATTGTCGTCCGTGGACAGGCTATTACAGTAGACCTCTTGCATATATTTTTTCATAAAAGTCCTTAAGACATGAAGGGAACAGTTGGCGGAGTAAGTCCTAGTGTTTCGGTCACATATTTTTGTGCCTTGGCTGCTTCGCGAAGGGAAAACGTCTGTGCCAGTTCGGTTTCTGTTCTGACCAAGTCGATCGCTTTGTTAAATAACTCTATTGCTCTGTCCAGGTTACCCCTGTAAGAAAAAGTGAACAACGAAAAAGGTTAAATAGGTTACATTTTAAAATGCTAGTATTATTGAGGAACGAGGAAGTTATGACCCGAGCAAGTCTTTTAGAATCTTCAGAAAAAATCTCAGTCGCATTCGCTTCCCACAAGAAAAAACATTTCGAAAATGGATTGAAAGTTTTCGCTGAAAACCCATTCTTCTCCCCTACATACTTTTTAGGAAAGTACTGATCTGGCTAGAAAGTCCTGATTAATAAAAGAATTCTCTTTACGTCTGTTCTGGTGAGTGATCTGACCGTAGACGTGGCTAAATGTAATTTAGGCGAGGTTAAACACGAGAAAACGCTGGCTAGACAGTCCGCTGGCTAGCGGTCTCAATTGTTAATCGTATGTGGGGCGGGTTTAGGGTTTTCTCAGGGACCCTATATTTTTACAGCGCTCCTTTGGAGGTCAAGCCATTTTGCACTAATGGGTTTAACCTTCAAATACAGCCGTCTCTCCTCGCTAGTCGCCGCTAGGGACATTTCGGGTCTCCCGTGAAACGTCCCTAGCTGCGAGGAGCGAGGTAGAGATGGCTTTATTCGCAGGCTAGTGAGGCCAGCTAGTTTCGTCATATGGCAGGCACCCCAACATTATTTAATACAGCACCTTTGAACTTCAAGCGTGGCTAAGGTTTCGTAAGCAAAGTCACACTTCTCGTCGATCTCTAAGGCTTCGTTAACCAATTCAGCTGCTTTCTCCACGTCTTGTCGTGATTGTAGCATCAGCATGCTTCAAAGTAAATTATTACAATGCGTTAGAACAAAACTTGTTTGCCATTCATTGACCCGCATTCTTAAGCTGAAAACACCTTTCCTCACTTTCTAAACCAATCGGTTAAAACCTACGCAATTATTTTAAAAAAACGGTCACATTGTCCTTCCCTGCTAGCAGAAGTCTCTCATGGAGAGAGCAAAATGAGACCTCTGCCGACCTCCGATGCATTTCCTATCACACATACACTGGAGTTTCCTTTACAAACAGGGCATGCGCATTCCACTTAAAACGAAACTGGTTTTGAAAACCAGTGGGTCGGTTATTTGAACGAAGTCTAACTTAAGCCGCAGTTTTAAGAAATCTTTGGACCCCCAGATCTCTTCCTTAGTGCATTATTTTAAGAAGATAAATGCTTTTCTAGTCTACTCTATATGCTTTCATGAAACGGTTCACGACAAAAGGTTTTTAGAAAAAATTGTTGGGCAAATTGAAAATGGCTTAGAACGCGGTTTTGTTTAACACTGGACACACTCCGTTCAAATAACTGGCCCAGTAGGTTTCGACCACAAATATGGTCGGCGGCTAAATGAAAGAACGCGTCGGAAGCCGGCAGAGATCTCTCTCCTTTCTCCCATTTTTTTCTTGCCGTGAGAGTCCTGTGCTAGCAGGGAAACATTGCCCATACTGATCTTCTTATACTCTTTATGGTAATTTGCAAGGAGAATTTGAACGAAAATAGAGGCGTTCACCTCCTCTACATAAAATCAGATACTTTGAAAAAGGTTAAAAAATTGGCTTCATTCTTTTGCCGTACAAACTATTAAATCAAGAATTGTTGACCAATGAAGCAGCTTCCTTTCATTTAATGAGTGTTTCATTCGATATCCAGACACGACGAAATCACCAAAAAAAACTCCAAACAGGGTTTGATATTGTATTTTTTTTTTTGCAACTCAATCTTTGAGTCTGGACATCGGATGAATCACTGCTTATAGAAAGAATATAATTACTTCTTGGTTAATACATTTTTTAAACCAGGCAACGTCAAAAAGTCATTTTGATACAAACCCTTTATAGACAAGGTGAACCGGGTTATAGGGTTCAAGCTTTATTGCCGTGTCAAAGTGCTCCTCGGCTTTTGCAAACTGCTGCATATCTTGTAGTACCTGGCATTAATGTCAATCAGAACAATACGATAAATTATGTTTGAATTCGAATGCAAGTGTACAAGGTAAAATTAGCTAAACAGACAGATCATCGTTCTACCAGGCCCGGTAGCCTTACTTTTTTTATAGGGATTAAGACGCTGTCCACCCGTATTGACGGCGCCGGTACGGGCACGAGCTAACCCGTACCCTACAATGAAGCAGTGGATATAAAGGTTTTAATTTGAAACTATGGTTAGTGCTCGATCTCAACGATGGGAAACAGAGATCTTAGCCTGTTCCAGGCTTTCAGATTGTAAGACGGTGCAGAGATGTGAGAAGGAAAAACAGCGAGAGGTTCGGGTTGGGGGTGAGAGCCTCCTCTCGGTTACCGGTCGTTTCGATACAAGTTAATTCCTTCGAGGTGTAGTTAGTTTTACGTACTTGGCTTAAATAACGAAGAATATTCTCCCAAAATGTTTTTCTTGTTCAATTGCAAACTTCACCTGAAGTGATCGAAATTTTTGTGCAATTTCACTGCTTGAGTTCGTATCGAAACGACCGGTTTCCATCTGAACGCCTGCCACAGGCTAAAGGGACCTGTAAGCAGTGTGCTAAAAATAGATGTAAACGAATATAGCCGACTTTGGATTTCAGAATCCTTCACAAACCTGTGCAAAAAGACTGTGGGCATCCGCTGAGTCGGGGTACTTCTCCACGGTTTTCTGCAACATTTCTACTGCTCCATGAGCAAGGATTGGAGATTGCTGCAAGGCAGCAGACTTGTAAATGCAATACGCAAGTTGGATCCTAGCTGGAATGAAAGTGTCATTTAGGGATATGCACTTCTCAAAATCTTCTTTAGCTTGAGTGAGTCTTTCAGACAGGAAGTTGATCTGAAAGAGAGGCAAGAAAAAGTGAATAAGTGGACAAATGGCTCAGTACAGTGCTATCAAAAACTAGCACTTTGAGTGTCAGTGTGTTTAGCAGCAAAGTACTAATTGGGGACACTATTTTTACGTCTCCGGACTGCCATTTTATGTAGTCATTCGAGCCACAGTGCAATACAGTGCAAAGGGAGTAACTTCATTTCTCGGCTATTTTAAGACCCTGAGTATTGGTCCGGCCCTGAGGATCGAACCCACCACCTTCCGCTCTGCAGTCAAGTGCTTTACTGGCTGAGCTAATCCTGCCGCAGTTAGAAAATGATTCTTACCATATTTTCTGTAAAACAAGCCTGTATTTAGTAAACACACCTGAATTAAGGGGGTTTGACTGTAATACAGACACCTCTGTAATGCAGACACTTGTCTCTGTCCCTTTGGTATCTGAATTAAGGGGTTTGACTGTAATACAGACATCTCTGTAATGCAGACACTTGTCTCTGTCCCTTTGGTATCTGTATTAAGGTTTGACTGTAATACAGACATCTCTGTAATGCAGACACTTGTCTCTGTCCCTTTGGTGTCTGCATTAAAGAGATTTGACTGTAATACAGACATCTCTGTAATGCAGACACTTGTCTCTGTCCCTTTGGTGTCTGCATTAAAGAGATTTGACTGTAATACAGACACCTCTGTAATGCAGACACTTGTCTCTGTCCCTTTGGTATCTGCATTAAAGACGTCTGACTGTAATACAGACACCTCTGTAATGCAGACACTTCGCTCTGTCCCTTTGGTATCTGTATTAAGGAGGTTTGACTGTAATACGGACATCTCTGTAATGAGGACACTTGTCTCTGTCCCTTTGGTATCTGTATTAAAGAGATTTGACTGTAAAACAGACACCTCTGTAATGCAGACACTTGTCTCTGTCCCTTTGGTATCTGTATTAAAGACGTCTGACTGTAATACAGACACCTCTGTAATGCAGACACTTCGCTCTGTCCCTTTGGTATCTGTATTAAGGAGGTTTGACTGTAATACAGACATCTCTGTAATGCAGACACTTGGATCTGTCCCTTTGGTGTCCGTATTAAAGACGTTTGACTGAAATACAGACACTTCTGTAAAGTGAACACCTGGCTTGGTCCCTTTTGAGTCCACATTAAAAGGGTTTAACCAACATAATTCATTATTTGTGAATTTCATTACCTAGAGGTATGTGTTTTCAAAAAATGTTGAAATAGCACTAACCTGTCCCCTGTGGTGATAAATATCTGAATTATCAGGATCAAGTTCTATTGCCTTATCAAAATCTTTGACACACTCCTGTACATTTTCGGCTTGTAGCTGCATACTTCCACGTTTGATCAGGCAGTTTACCTTCAACTGAAAGAACAATCACTTGGGAATTAGTGATTTAAATTTAATTTATTCACATGTTATTTAAACCTTTAAGCCCCAATATCCACATACAAATTCTCCAAACTGGTCTCTATATATTTCCTTAAGGAATAAGTTGAGAGAATTTGGTAGAAGATCAAAGCATTTTCTCTTAGGTGATCATTTTATTAACTCTCATAACCATTTCTCTTGGTAACAAATGGATATTGTTAGGAGAAAATTGGTGTTGGTCACTATCGAGACTTAAAGGGTTAAAACACCAAGAGAATAAAAAGATAAATGTATGCAGTTTGTTATGTGGTGGACATTTTGAAATTTAAATACATGGCCCAATGGTTCAAGTTCTGGATCCAAACATTCTACTGAGGTCTGGAAAGGCTAGGAAATTTGCAACTTTTTTGAAGATCTGGTTGCTTGCCAAAGATTTTGTGGTTCCAGAATACTGGGTATTTGAAACTGGGTAATTGGCAGTTAGGTGTGAATGATTCTTGGCAGAATGCAACTAAATTAACACAAGGAAGTTGCAAGAGTACCTTGGTCAAGTCTTCCAGACTATCAGCATCTATTACTTGAGTCAAATCCTGGATTGCTTCATCTACATTTGATATCAGTGTGTACATAGTTCCTCTCAGAGCAAAAGCCCTGAGGTAAAGTGGTCCTGAGCCTTGATAAAATGTGTACATGATAATATTAAGATATGACTTTTGAATTTTGATGTTTTTTTGCACTCTTCAAAGCGATAAAGATTAGCATAATTGCTGAAGCAACAAAGGGGTAAAACTAACTTAGTCTCTGAGTGGCAGCCACAAAAATCAAGTATCTGACACTTATGTCAAATACAGCATGTTTTGAATTCCCCATCAAAAGATGTTGCAAGGGGCTACATGCGTTACAGCACAAGTGTTTACAGATGCAATCAAGATGTACTTGATGTGATTGGAATAATTATGAGTAGCCTGCCTCCTTAGATTTATTTACTTAGGGTTACCAATTCTTGGCAGGGTCACTGCAACAGCTTTTGGTGCCAATTACTACAGGCGTGCAACAGTCCCTCCCCCCATGAGATATAGACCACCACCCTGGGGACTACATTCCTTACTCTTAACGAACAGAAGTTATAATTACATGCAAGGGTTGTGAGAGGGGGCGTACAGTTTATCGTCCTCATCTGAGAAGACTTGAAAGTCTAACTGTTTGCAGATATCTTTGTAACAAAGGCAGCACTTTCTCCTTAGTCATTTAGAGACCCAAAGCATTGGTTTGGCTGAGGTTTGAAGAAGCAGCCTCCCGCTCGGCAGACTGGTGCTTATCCAGTTGAGCTAACTTGGAGATTTCTGACAATATTATGCTCTTACAATCCTTTGTGTTATCTCTTGTATTAAATGGTTTAACAAGAACACGTAGTCCCATGTCTACCTGTCTCAATTTGCTGTGTGCACAAGTCCACTATGTTTTCATATTTCTTTTTCTTCATCTGTTTAACAGCTTCTAGAAAAGGTGAATCCTCAGGAACATCTTCCGTAGACTTCACTTCTAAAGTGTCATCTACAACAAACCAAGATACATGTAAGAGTCCTGTAATTATTCATTTCTTTCAAACTAACTTTAAGGAGAGGGAAAATAACCCACAACTATTAAAAAACCTAATTGATATAATTCACCAAGTAAACTATAAACTGTTAAGTGGGAAAAGTTAGTCATCAAGATGCAAGAAACTACCCTAGAAATTGGTTTCTAATGTGTGATTTAGGCTCCCTGAAACTATTTCAAGGGATTGGGGGAAGGCCAGGGGGAGGAACAATATTGTTGAATATTACTAAAATATTCTTTGAAGACTTTTTATGCCTGCCAAAACTTACCATGACGAAAAGATTCTAAATAAGCTTTGATGTAAGTTGGTGAAGGTAGAGCCGTCCTCCTTCTCTGCAAGTATTAAGTAAATGAGGGAGACTTTAACAAAGAAAGCTCAATTTTACAAAACTTGGTAGCTGCCAGGTCATTCAAAAATCACTAGAGCAGGAAGTGAACCAATTTCCTAAAGGACGGCCAAAGGTGCACCTTCTAGTGGGGGGTGGGGGGGGGGGAGGTCTGGGGTATTCTCCACCAGGAAATTCTATGGATTTTAACTCTCTAAAGTCCCTTTTCCTGGGCTTCTCAGTCATTCAGACAGGATATTGGCCCATTCCATTCTCCTCAGATGAAGCCTTGCAAATCGGTGAATTACTTCATGAAGGGTAATTTCCTTGTTGTATTCAAAATGGAGCAAGATTTCAGCTTGGAAAGTTTTTTTATGATTAAAAATTATTTGTTATGAAAAATCTTGCCAATTTCCATAAAACTGTGTGGATCTACGCCTGTTTAGAGTGCCAACATTTACTTTAGAATCATAATCATTAACTGCACCGCTTGCATTATTTTTGACACCAACAAAATAAAAAAATCACTCATAACAAGACTTGGTAAACAACAAATTATTGACTCAACACTACAAACAGTACATTCAAGATTTCATTTCACAAACAAAGGAAGCCCATTTTTAATTTCACACTAGCATGATTCTGTTTTGCAAGGAAAAATTGTACTCAACAATACATAAATTGCTTTACTAATACTACCCACATGTGATGTAGCTCATACCTTACAGTATTCCTGAGCTTTTTCTTTCCCTATTTCCTTCAAGACCCTATCTGCTTGCATCATCCAGTTAGGGTTATTAAAACCTTCAATCATACACACAGCTGTGAGATCTGTTGATGGAAATAGAGGAGATGCAGTGACTTAAGATGATCTGTAACCACAACAACTGATAACAACAAACATGATAAACTGCTAAAGCTTCAATACAGGAAATTCCAGGAGTGATGTCATCAGGCACACTTCCTTAGCATTCTGATTCAGTCAATCATTGCAAGTCATAGCTCAGGCAGTAAATCATGAATATTTTCCATGCAAAAAGGCATCCAAATGACCTCAACAAAATTTATACATGTACTAAACAACCACACAGGCAAAGTTGAAAACGACTAATATTCTAAAGCCTCATTTAAAGCGATTCCAGAAATGATGACACCAAGAACACTTCCTTAGCATTAGGTCAATCCTTGGGCTCAAGCAGGAAATCATAACTTTTTTCCAGGCAAAAAGGCATCCAAATGACCTAAACGAAATTTGAACCGGAAAACATACAGGCATAGTTGCAGTCATGTTGCATGCTTCAGGACACCCACACAGACTCAATATTTTGAGCACAATATTTTGTTTTGAAGAATTTCCTCTTCCTTTATACATGATGAGCACAGTTAAAGCTCATTGTTTTACCTTGCAAACACTCCTCCTTTCTGTTTAGCTGTTCATAGGCCCGAGCTCTCCTCATGAAGGCTTTGGAATACTTTGTATTGAATTCTATGGCTGAGAAAACAAGGATAATACCACAGGCTTAACATCCTGCTCTGATTGTGGCAAGGACCGACAGTGCTTTGTACATATATGTATAAAATTATGGCAGCTTCAGTATTCAATCAATGTAACAATACACAACAAATAAAAAATGTTGGTCAGATAATACAACATGGTTTGAAATCAAGACTTTCCAAAAGTAGCCCCATTTGTCTTCTATGAAGTTAAGGCTGGCACTTAGCTAACCTTTACTGGCATCTGCAAGGACTTGCTCATAGTTTTTCTACAATAAAAACAGATTATTTAAGTCAGTATACCATTACAAACAGAGCTATCAACAGATTATCCACTTTTCAGTTTTAAAAAGAAAGGCCAGCAGCTTTCAAATATTCAAATCTTTATCACTCTCTATTATTTTGTTATTATATTAAAACATAATGATGACCCTTGCAAAATGTTGCCTTTTTCATAATTTGTAAACAAATGGTACTTGTACTACTTGCCTTACTAGCTGACTTTGATTTACGTTGCATGATTGTCCACAAGTGATTTACCTAAAATGATACCCTAAAATTTGATGTCAGCTTATTCAGCAAAAATGTTTACCTGTTGTTCATAAGCTGCTGCTCTGTTTTGGTAATACATTGCAAGATCAGTCTTGTTTTCTTCTGGACAGAGGCTAATGGCTTCTGTGTAGCATTTAATGGCTTGATCATATTTTTGACCCTTGAAATACTTGTTGCCTTTTAGTTTAACTGCTTGAGCTTGCTCTGCAGGGGACAGCTGTATACAAGATGAAAAATACCAACAAATATACTCATATTAACCCTTTCACACTTAATAGTGGAAAAAGCCAAAAAAAGTCAAAATTCTTTAAGTAAAATATAAATAATACTAGCAGGAGTTTTAGTAATATTAAAGTAGCCACCAAGTTTGTGAGCAAAAAAGAGGGTGTCTTTTATTCAAATTTCGATTTATCATTCACACAATCAACTCTTACAAGCAATAAGCAAATGACAATAATTAAAATAACTATAATTATTAATCATTAATTATTTAAACATTCAGTCTGACATCAATGATTCTTAAGCATGGTTCTCAAATGCTGCTGATCTACCTGCAACATAGCCAGCAGTAATGTTTGAGATACCGTACCGACATCAGAACAAAAGTCATAGCCAACTGAAGCCATCACAGTATTAAATGCCAGCATGCCTGTGAAGTTGACAGAAGGTCAACTTTGCAGGTACATGTATATTGGTGTAAGATCATGATGATTTTGTTGGTGGGAGCATATTATTGTTCTTATGTGTTGGAGGTACAGTATCATAGTTGATACACTGGGCAGCTACATATCAGAGGTAGATCAGCGGCGGATGAGACCGATGAACTGATTGCCACTTTTCTCATTTTATACTTGTATTTACCAAAAGGGCTCGCAGCAACTACAGAATTCACGGCCATATTTCAAGGTCTCAAACAGAAGCAGGGCTGTCAACTCTCCCAGATAATCCGGGAGACTCCAGATTTTGGACCGTATCTCCCTGACTAAAGATTAGAGTCTGAAATCTCAAGGATAATCACCGAAGATTGCCATTTCTTGTAAACTTGACTTTCCAACAATAAAATTTCAAATATTTTGCATTGTTTTAGCTGTTAACATCACACTTTTTCTCAAAAACCTCCGGTATACCATTGTAATATAAGCAATAATGTGATTGGTGGGAAGTGAACCAATCAGGTTAAATGTTACAATGCCAACAACATCTTTTTGGCGCATTTTGTGTCATCACAAATTCGTGATGACCGGAGTCAAGGAATGTTGAATGTTATGACTTCATCTATCATCCCTTCCCTATCAATTCTCAATATTTTAAGACGTGGGGGGTTGACAGCCCTGCAGAAACTCTCGTGTTTTTTTTTTTTCTGAAACGCCCTTTTAGTACCCTGGCTTTCTCTCATGTTCCCTCCTGAACCGGAGGACAGTGACCTTAGTTACGCAAGATTTCACTTTAACAAGAGCCGTAGCTCCATTCCACGAACCGTAAGATCCGAGGACTGCGACGGTAGCGAAAACGTCGCTGAAAAAGTAAATTCGCGTTCTTTCAATCTTCATCGCGATTTAATACTCCATGTCACTGACTTGTCAAATGTTGGTGAACCCTCCTAAAGTTGAATTCCTAAGAACCATATCCAAGTTCAGAAGGACAGAAGAAATTTCGTTGTCGGTTGTGTACTTCCTCTGTGAAACGTGAAATCAGGCATTTTCACGTCCTATCGTGCAGTGACGGCAAAGAAATGTACGTACAAAAAAGCGTAATGTACAAGAAAAATTGTTGTTTTGGATATTAAACCTGTCGCTTTTTCGACGTCCTCGTTGCCGTCGCCGTCGTCGGATCTTGAAACTTATTCAGGTCTTTATATGAGAAAGGAACTTACTTGCACTGCTCAGTGTTCAGGAGCCTGTTAGCCTGCGAATACAGCCGTCGCTCCTCTCCACTGTTGCAGCATGAAAGTAGGTTCCTTATTATGATAGGGTTAGACGGAAGCAGTTAAGCGTCCTCGGCCTCCTTATTTTCACGAAGCGGGTTATGTTTCGTCTTTCCTGCGGGGGTACTATCACGTGTACAAATCGGATTTGACTAGATCTCGCCTTCGCCTTTATAAACAAGAGATCTGGGTACGAGATTATGTCGAAGGTACTACGGTCGACTCCCAGTAACTTGAACCCTCTATAACTCGAAGCAATTTTCATTTCCCTTCAGATCATTTTCTATATAATTTTACCCTCGATATAACTCGAACTTTTTTCTATTTCCCTTGAAGGTTCGAATTATCGGGAGTCGACTGTATCCCTTTTGACCCTACTCTGTAATAAGCGCCTTTCCCCTATACCCCATCCCAACATTTAACTCAGTCCCATTCAACTTTTACAACGAGATCAAAGGAAAATGCCCGTAAGCAAACAGATAAAGTGTTCGCATCTGGAGCTGTCAGATTATTGGAATGATCCCCGGAAAAGACCACTACGGGCGCAAGGAGAGTGGCTTTCATAGGTTCTCGCACCATTCACATTTAACCTATCGTTCCCAGGGTTCTCTTCAACTTGATGCGTTGATAAATCAATGAAAGTATTGCTTATTTTCAAACAGAGGGGGACTAGGTAGGAGACCGTGTATACACCACTTGCACATCTCCCATAAGGCACCTTATTTGCCCCCCCCCCCCACCCCCAGACAACGCCACAGAGAAAAGTCACCTTGTCAACATGCAGGAGAATGGCTATGAAAACCCCACTTACCGGTTTTATGACTACTAAGTAACATTTTATGACAGTGAAACAGTATTGCCTAAGACAACCATCAATACCCTGCACTAACGTCTTGTAGAATTGGTCTTAGCACTGAAAGTTCTTTGTAACCCGGCACTATACAACAATGCGCGGGATTATCTGGTGATTTGTGCAGGGTATTTTCCGGATCTCTTTTAGAATCTCTGATTGTATTTAAGCTCTATTTTGGTAGTAGGTGCAAAAGCGTTCTCAATTGCGCAACCGCAGAAAGGCAGCTTTTTATAGTCCTTATCATACTGTAGATTATTTGGCAAGAGAGTTAAGCAGTGGAACAACACTTTCTCGGTAAAACAAAATTTGATTCACAAATGACAAGTGAAGCATGAGAGCTCGATTTTTTTCGTTGCCTGAATTGTTTTCTTCGTATTTTCTTTTGCTTGACGTTCACCTCTGTTATTTCTCAATCCTTACGTAAAGGAAAGCAAACTTGAGAAAGGTATCATTGTAATTTTTCTACTGTTAAACTCTCTTGTTAACTTATAGATTTTATAACCTAGGAATCAGGGGTCAAACAATAATAGCTAGAACTTAAAATATTTAACTCCAGCACTTTCTTTGGACACATAACAGTATTTATTGGGCGCAGAGCCATAAAAATTGTAAGGTTTGACCGACTAAAGCACAACGTCTTTGTAAACAGTTCTTTCAATAGCACTGTGATCATTCTGACCTGTTCTTACGCCCAGTCTTCGCCCTTCAGTTTCGCATTTACCTCGAGGAAGTGAGTTGAGAAAGCTTGCCTTCCACGCGGACGATCTTAGGGGCTTTGTCACGCGTTCATTCCCTAAGAACGTTCTTGAGGGAGGAACGCTTGATGAAGGCGTAAGAGTATTTGCGTGGGAGGCAATTGAGAGGGAAAGACTTCTTTTCCTCTCGGCGTGGATTGGAAAATTTTTCTCGACCTGTTCTTGTTGGCTTTGAAGTTATGCCAGGACAAACCAGTAGCCTCACAGGAGCGCCATAAGGCCAGCTTGCATGCTCTCAAATCTGAGCGTATAATGGGACAGGTGTTCAGTCCAGTTGAATTATCTTAGGAATTATCTCACGCCAGTTCGGTGTGCGTAAGATAGTTATCGTCAAAAGTGGCCCTTGTAAACCAAGAAACGCCCACGATTTCGAAGCAGTTGACCCGGCGTGATAATTCTGGTGTGTGATCGGAAACTTCGATGAATATTTCCAAAACTTTATAAAAGTTATGTGTACACGATTCAACTTAATCGCATGCGGTGTGCCTATGATGAACCTTCAACCTGAACAGTAAATTTTAGATTAAGCCTTCAATCTCAAATCAGTCGTAGAATTCATTTAATCGCTACGATTTGTGTCCTTGGCTTATCGAAACAAAATTTGCCTTAACTTTGTTCTGGAGTATTCCTGAATTAAAGTAAGCGATACACTCTGCCTCGCCGAGTGGTGGACGAGATCACTGACCTACTGTAATTAATAGACTATGGGTTGACTTGGGATCCCCGTGGGAACAGTAAAGAGAAATATCAAGCATATCAACCGATGATCATGGATTATAACGCCGAATTAAACTGTTACAAGATGTGTAGTTCTAGACAAAGTAAGCATTCTATGGGAGCCTTGAAAGCTGTAATGTAGAATACTGGTATTTGGCTATTAAATATAACATTTTAGTACCTGAAATCTCGCTCTCGTGTTTTTTTTTTTTCTGAAACGCCCTTTTAGTACCATGGCTTTCTCTCATGTTCCCTCCTGAACCGGCGGACAGTGACCTTAGTTACGCAAGATTTCCCCTTAACAAGAGCCGTAGCTCCATTCCACGAACCGTAAGATCCGAGGACTGCGCCGGTAGCAAAAACGTCGCTGCAAAAGTAAATTCCGGTTCTTTCCATCCTCATTGCGGTTTAATACTCCATG